TCGACCTCCTTGCCTCCGGCCGGAGAGAAAACCAGATGAGGCTCTGCCGATGGACAGAGTCTCGTCTGGGGAGGTCGACAAACCCGACCCCGTTATTACAGGGTCTACGGGGAATTTTGCCCGAGCTCGGAATGCCCCACGTTAAAAAACAAAGTCTTGTGCCACATCCCGCTTTTTGGAGAGGACTTGGGTAAATACTGAGTACACCTTCTTATTCAGCATATCCCAGAAAATGAAGTCAGTTCTATCTTTTTTCGAAAAACCATGTTTTATCTGTGGTAAAAAATATAGTTTATGAGATTTCCTGTGTCCAGACTTTAGTGACACTATATATATATATATATATATATGTGTGTGTGTGTGTGTGTGTGTGTGTGTGTGTGTGTGTGTGTGTGTGTGTGTGTGTGTGTTGTGTGTATGTGTGTATATATATATATATATATATGTTATGGTAATTTGCCCACCCACGCATGAACTCTTCCAGCTATAAATAGGAGCAGGTACTGCCTTTTAGTGAATGTAGTTTCCAGCAGTCAGCTCTGACAATAGGACCGAACATTCTTGCTGTAACACTCCCGTTTGTATATGTTTGTATTACTGTTTCTGTTAATATATTTAACTCAATTCCTCTCTTGTGTCTTTATTTCTGTCCCTAACAAAGCCACAAGAATATATATATACAGTGAGTCCCCCGTATTCGCGTGGGTTAGGGACCAGAACCGGCCGCGAATAGATCTGCGAATACTTGTAACCTCCCTAAAAGTGATTATAAGTACCTATTTTGATTGATAAAATCTCATATGCCTTAAACTTTCATCCTAAACACTTTAGAAACATTTCCGGCCCTTTTAAAAACATTTTCGAAAAATAGTATTGGTGACCATACACTTAGCGTAATTTTTTTTCCTACGTACAATAACCGTTTTTAATTACGCATAGATCGATACAACCATTGAAAATAGTATATAAAATATGTCTAACAAGACATAAAATATAAAATTTAAAACATTTTCTAAAAACAGAACTGTAATGATGCCCCCAGACTTAGCATAAACCACTTTTAAGACCCCAGCTCCAGCCACTAACAAAGAACAAAGCACAAGCACAAGCACTACGCATGTTTTTGCGTTTGTTCTTTTACAATGAAGATGTACAATTCTACCAATTTCTACCATAAAAATAGACTGTTATACGTTTTAAGTCATTTAAATAAGAGGAAAATAATACAAGAATATTTTAAATATGTTCTATCGAAAAAATACTCGAATCGAGGGAGATCTCAACGAATAATTTGTAGATTTGTTCTTCGCGAATATTCGGGGTTTCCATGAATAACAAGTACATATGTTCTAAAGAAAAATCCGCGGATATGTGAAGCCGTGAAGGCTTAAACGCGAATAGCCGGGAGCTCACTGTATTCTGATTATGCATTATGCGCATGCGTGATTCGTCGTTCTCATAAGGAGCGTATGACGAAACAACTTTATCAAAACACTCCAATAACAAAAAAATTATGTGAATCTTTTATCTTAAACTCTAATTAACCAAACGATCGGTAATAAGACTTTCAATTGCTTTTTGCTTAACAAAAAAAAAAAATAATGGAAAATCCCTTGATTAATCTTTTCTGGATTCTTCATCAATGAGGTTCGATTTCAACGATCTAATTTTCATGTCCATAACAGAGTTCTAATCTGGAGACATTCGTTTATCCAGAGACTTACGTAAATATCTTGAGAACAAACTACAACTTTTCAGAAAGACAAAAGGTCAGAGGTGTGTGTGGTTAATTTGATATGTTCGTTGTAGAAACGATGTTTGCTCACGGGTATGTTTTGTCAGAAAGAATAAGCAGAAAAGGACATTCATGGAGTATGGCATGTTTCTTCAAGGAATTGCCGAAAAGTTCCCAGCTCGACACATGCATATGATAAATTCTTAAAGAATCTTATACACAATTTATCAAATGCATTAGTCATACATAGAAATAAATTCAACTATAACTTCAATCTAACGAATGGCACACTTATTAAATGAGAAAGTAACTTAGAAAATTATTAAGAATGCCACTATCGAATTTTACCAAAATATGAATCTGCGCCTGGGATTTCTTTTTAAAATATTTCCTTTTCT